GTGTGTAGCAGAGGAATTGTTGCCGGACAGTGTGCAAACCAAGGATTGTCCTGCCTGACACTCAGGATTACAGCCACTCAAGTGCATGTGTCTCTCAAAGTCTGGAGCTGCTGAAAGAGAGGATTTCTACTACTGTCTAATGCTATCTAGAGGACAATCCAGAAACAGTGAGTACTCTGTGATGAAAGGGGATTTTGATATTGCTGCATTTGCTGTTCATCTCTGGAAAATGGTCATGAGAAAGCCTGCTCTCTAATTCTCAAAGTGACACAGATCTTGGAAAGCCCAAGCTGCTCAGAATTAGCTATTCCTGCTGCTGATTGATGAGAGAACTCTGTCACTGTATATTACTGGTTTGTCTCCTGAAGACTTGTGCTATGGCTGAAGAGTGTGTTTAGTTTCAAGTCCCCACAGAAGCTTGCTGTTTTGAATATACTGAGCAAGTGTCAGTATATCAGGATTTCACCTGTATGGTAAAGATTTTGTTGAAGTGTTGTTTTCCTATTGCAATGTTCACTGGAAGATTCTGCTTAAAGGAGACTGTGCTATCCTGCTACCCCTGGATTACAAATAATCTCCCATGCAGAGAGTGAGCGCTCTTCCATTGATTAAAGGGCCCCAACGTTGAGAGACTTTAAATTTCATCCCACTGGCCAGTGGTTAGGTAGGATATGTCTGCTCTAGATAGTATTGCTATAACAAATGTCAATAAGCTGCTTAACCTCATTAACAGATATTGTTTCATGTGTCAAAGTCACTCTCATGTGCCACCCTAGTCAGTGTGATACCAGTCAGTTTTTGTAGTCTTTGGCGACTGAAGAGTGATTTATTACTAACTGTGTTATGCAAAGTGGTATCTGTGTTTTATGTACATTACCTGTGTTAAATCAGCTAGTTCTTTTTCAGGGTTTGTCTTCTTCAATAAAACCCATATAAAATATTCTCAGTGTCGAAGTGTTCTGGGTATAATCGAAGGTGTCACCAGATTCAGGTGGGAGCTGAACCTATATATCTAGCCAAGTTCTACCCAAGGGTGTGCTACAGTTACATAGGCAGCTGAGCATTCCACAGTAAGGCGCAAGGCAGGGAATGAGTGAAAAGAGCCTATCCTTCCACTAACAGGAAGCCAAAATTTGCATAGCCAGCATAGTAGCCTCATAGGTTGTGCTGGAGACTGCAGATATGTGGGATAGGGGATTGAGTAGAACTAAATTAGCTTACTAAGTGTAAGGTAGGGGCACTGAAGTGCCTAGTTTAGTCCCCCAAAATTGGCCACTATAGAGTTAGGAACCCTGTAGTGAAGAGTAGAGAGTGTAGGTGCCTACGTAGCTGCTAGAGGTCTCCAGGGTTGTGAGTATAGCAAATCATAGATATCTAGTAAGTTCCAGCCCTGCCCCTGCCAGTGTGGGGAATTTTGGGTAAGAGAGCTATGTATACTAACTCAGGTGGGGGTCCACCTGAGATGTTGATCATGGGAAGCAGTGCAAGGACCAAGGCATACAAAGATGTAACCTTTGAGATTGTAGCTTCCGTAGCTTCCCTTTAGGGAGGAAACAAGGAAGGAAATGTGCAGGACTAATTTGACTAGTTACATCCCTTTTATTGAAATGCGTAATTTAGGCAAAACTCCTAAAGGTGCTGGCTGCTCCTGGACTTGGTTCTCATTTCTGCTGTTTTCTATTTGCAATGAGTGGAATGTGTCATCACCACAAGGATGAATGAAAGGCTATACATGTGTAAATCAACTGTGTTTCAGTAAAGAGTTGAAAAGCTTCTGTTGTGTGGATTCTTCCTTCTCCTAACCTCAAGATAGGAAACTCTTCTGAAAACAAACCTTGTGCCAAGTGAGTCTGCTATTGAGGTCCATTGTTTTAAGGGCTAAGAAAGGTATGGAACAGATACTGGTGGTGATGATTAGGCCATACTGGGGCCTCCCAGAGGTGGCTTTCTGATGGTGCTCAGGGGATGATCATATACCAATAATGTCTCAGTCAGTCTAAGGCAGCCTTTCTCAACCTTTTTGTCCTAGAGGAACGCCTGATAGAGTTTTCAAGTCTCTGGGAACCCCTGCTAAAACCAAGTCATTGGGGGTCAGTGGGAAAAATGCCAGCTGGTTTTGCTAAGTGGTGTTGATCCCAGAAGTATGCAGGCACAGGTCAATCTACCACAGCTTAAGGAGCTCCTGGCAACCTTTGGAGGAACTCTAGGGTTCCACAGAACCCTGATTGAGAATGCATCTAAGGGAAACCACCTATGCCAGGCAGGAATAGGTTGAAAACATACAGGTGCTCCCTCACTACAATGGCTGTGCACATATAGGACATGTCCCCAGCACACAGCTAAGCCGCTACCCATTCAAGGTTCACTTTTTCAATATAAAATCATCCTGCATCTTCCTTTCACACAAGGCGCTCAGCAGTGGCAACACCTTATAGGATATTGTGCTAAATTCAGCAATCTAAAGCACCTTCGGTAATCCTTCCCTTCCTGTGTCCTCAACACCAGGTTACCTCACTAGGCAATGGTACTCACTTTTTCTGCCTGGGGATCAGGAACAGACTTGATTTAATTTTTATCAAAGAATGTTCTGGTATAATTACAAAATAGAGTAATTATCTGACAGTATATGCAAGATCCAGATTTACATGCTTCTGACAGATGTTGGAATATTAAAGTACAGTAATCCCAACTGATACACTGCACTCCCAGGCAGTATGAAGGATATCTTGTGTACTGTGTTGTAACTCTACCTGAAAAGCTAAGATTATCCAAACTGAACAAAAGAACATCACAGCTAACATTCCAGGATGACTACCAAGTTGTAAACAGCAAAATAATCTGAAGAAGTAAAGCTGAACTCCAGGTGTGATGTTTGTTGGATATTTAAGCCATGTGCACATGGGCCAAATATTGGGCAGTATCGGCCGATTCAACAGAAACCAGCCAACATTCGACTCGTGTGTGCGTCCAGCTCCTATCAAAGGGGCATCACCGAAAAAGGTTTGCTGATCGGCATCTGTTGGCTGAGAGTGCATGACCGGCGTGTTCTGGGGGGGGGGGTTTTGGTGGGGGCAATTACCTGTCAGAACACAATAGCTCAGCGGGGAGATCGCTGTACTAGCATCACTGAGTTAAACAAAAAAAACAGATAGACTGTACTAGACATTACATTAGTCCAGTTTGGCACAAGGTAAGTATGCATATCTCCCACTGAGGAAGCGGCCCATCATATCAGTGGCTATATGGTTAGCACTTCCGCCTGGCAGTACTAGTGTCGTTGGTTTGAATCCCAACCATAGCACCACCTGTCTGGAGTTTGCATGTTCTCCCTGTGCTTGCGTGGGTTTCCTCTGGGTACTCCAGTTTCCTCCAACACTCCAAAGACATGCTGGTAGGTGAAGTGGCTCTTCTCTAAATTGTCCCTAGTATGTGTATGTATGAATGTAAGTTAGGGACTTTAGATTGTATGCCCCTTGAGGGTTAGGGACTGATGTGAATGTACAATACATATATGTAAAGCGCTGCGTAAATTGACGACGCTATTTAAGTACCTCAAGTAAATAAATAAATCATTGTAGCAGCTGTGATCTTCCGGGTCCTGGGCCAAGTGGCCTCGACTCTACAAACTGACCTCAAGGGATCACTCACTAGGAACTGCCACCATTCACAGAATATCTTGTATTTTTTCACTGAATACAAAAGATTCTCTGATTGAACTAGGTGGAGAGGAGGAGTGATGAAGTCACCATCTCCATTATGTCCAATCAGAGAACACTTTGTATTCATTGAAAAAAATACACAGTGCTCTGTGAACTATGGCAGTAATGAAAGACCAAACCCCTGTGGTCAGTGTGCAGTGGTGAAGCAATTTGACACAGAAACCTGAGGGTCATGGCTATCAATGTAATAGCATCAACCTCTATAGTGATTGAAGGCTTCTCCAGCAGCCCCTTGGGTAAGAAACATACATACTGCCAAGCTGGACTAATGCAACCACGAAATAAAATTCATACCTGGAGTTCAGCTTTAAAGAGTAACTCCACTTTTGTTGAGAAAAAAACATTCCCTTCTGGGTGACCTATCTACATCGCAGGGATTTTTAACAAACTTTGTTTCAGATTCTTACCTTTTGATAATCTGAAGAAATAGCTGTTTGTTTGTCTGTGTCCATGTGCAAAGTGAATCTGTATGGGAGTGATTATATAATTATCAATCAGCTGCTGCACCTGCTGATCCCTTAAAAAGGGAAAGGGGCAGGGTAGTCATCCCTTTAGATGTGATTTCCCTTGGAAAGGATATTTTTGTTACAGGGGATACCCAAAATCTGACTTGTATTTTAGTGCAGACTTCTGGGAAAATCAGTGAGCTAATCACACGAGCGGGAAATTACATTTTTGGGAGGCGTTCTGTGAACCATCTATGTACAGAACTTCTTCAGGTAGCCATTTCGCATTGCATTTTACAGAAAATTACAGCGCTGCAGATAGAAAAGGGAAGGATATTTTTGTTACAGGGGATACCCAAAATCTGACTTGTATTTTAGTGCAGACTTCTGGGAAAATCAGGTAGCTAATCACACGAGCGGGAAATTAAATTTTTGGGAGGCGTTCTGTGGATCATCTGGGTACAGAACTTCTTCAGGTAGCCATGTCGCATTGCATTTTACAGAAAATTACAGCGCTGCAGATAGAAAAGGGAAGGTCATTTTTAATGACATTAAATTACAATGTGACTTGTGTCGCAAGTGTATAAGCTATATATATATTTTTTTCTATTTGCTATTTTTTTCCCATGAAAGTGAAGTTACTTTTTAAGAGACTTTTGCTGCATTTGCTGAAAGGCCCCTACATGAGAATGTCAATAGGCACAATAAATGAGGTATAAGAGCTCTTGTGGACTCTATCTAAACATAAAGTAAATCACAGCGAGTCATTTCTCAGCCGGCCTCTCATGTAGAACAGCAGGAGGACTAAGCACCTGAGAATGTGCGGAATGCGCACCTGAACCAGTTGGTGAGCGTCATCATCACATAGAGAGAGGCGAGGACAAATACAAAGTGGAAGAAGGAATAACTGTAGATTACATGTTCCCGCTCATCATGAATCACCGCTTGTCCACCACTGGCATCCGTATCTTCCTCGCAGTTTCGTTCTCCTAATAGAGAGGAAGCAGATTGTGACTGGTGTATCTCTGTTACATTGCAATATATAGAAAAATAAAAACAAAACTGGAAAATAACCAAAACCAATATGTACCTCTAACATATACAATGCAGAACCAGAAATGATTTTCTATACCAATCATCCAGGAACAATCAGGGGCGGACTGACAACTCACGGGGCCCCCGGGCAATAGGGGTTCATGGGCCCCGTGTCCTTGCCCAAACTCAAAAAAGCCTATGAAAAAGGTACCAGGGGCATCTCATGGGGCCCCCTACTGACCCCGGGCCCTCGGGCAGTTTCCAAATGGTCAGTCCGCCCCTGGGAACAGTAACATATTTAAAGCGGAGTTTCCAGTCCCCAGCCAAAAAAAAAAATGTAAAAAGTCAGCAGCTACAAATACTGTTGACTTTTAATATTAGGGCTAGGGGCGGACTGACCATTTGAAAATTCGGGCACTGCCCGAGGGCCCGGGGTCAGTAGGAGGCCCCATGAGATGCCCCTGGTACCTTTTTTTCATAGGCTTTTTTGAGTTTGGGCAAGGACACAGGGGCCCCATGATCCCCTATTGCCCGGGGGCCCCATGAGTTGTCAGTCCGCCCCTGATTAGGGCACTTACCTGTCCAGGGATCCAGCAGTGTCCTCACTTTTTCAGTTGACTGTCGGGTGCTGGCGCCGCCATCTTGACTAAGGGAGACTGGGGGTGAAGCCTTTCCTACTATGCATGCACGAAGTGCACTGCACTTTGTGAATGGGCCACAGTCCTCTGGGACCTATGAAGTGTCCCACAAGGCTGGGGGGGTGGCTGAACTTCCTGCTCAGTTCACCGCGGCAAACTGTGCCGGACGTGGGAACAGGTACCTATCAAAACCAGGTACCCCCCAAAAGGTGCCAAATGTGGCAGCAGAGGGAGAGAGGAGGCAGATAAGCGGTGCTTCCACTTTTGGGTGGAACTCCGCTTTAACGGTTTTATCTACCAAAATATTTGTGATTCAGCCAGTCTTATGATTTGGAAACCTTTATCACATTACATAGCGAAAAAAAGTGCTATCTCAGTTTCCTAGTTGCTGCTGACAGCATCAAACTCCATCTCTAGTCTGCTTGTTCACCTCTGTCCATTAGGGGTGATTTACTAAAACTGGAGCTCTCAGAAACTGATGCAGCTACCCACAGTAGCCAATCAACTTCTAAAGGCAGCAGCTTGTTCAGGTAAGCTTTGACAATAAAACCTGGAAGCTGATTGGTTACTATGCAGAGCTGCACCAGATTCTTTATGCACCAGTTTTAGTAAATCTGCATCAATAGGCCAATGATATAGGAAGTTGAACACTAGGAAAATGCAGAATAACAATTCTGGTAATTCAGTGTGGCATGACTGTGGGAAGTACATGACTGGCTGACGGGAATTAGAAATAACTTGGTAGGTAAATATTTCACATGTATGTATTATAACTATGCATTTAACTATCCTTCTTTAATCACTTGCTGACCGGTGGAATGTTTTAAAGTGTTAATAAAACCAAAAGCACACATTTATTATATTGAAGTTTACCATTTTTTTTTTAGCTGTGGCGAGTGCATTCATTTACTTTTTTAGGCTTTACTTCTTCTATTTTCATCTGGTGATCCAGCCAGTAAGTCTGTTTTTCAAGAGAACAAGCTCTCCAGCAGAATGTATCAGTTACAGAGATGAGACAAACTATAAACTATTTAACATTAGCAGGGGTGCTTACAATGATTAGCTTTTATTTCCTTTATCCCAAAACGAAAGGGTTAGCTGACCTAATTTTGTTAGTGTATTCAAACCTGATAGTACATCGAACACTCATTTCCACCCAGACTGACAATGCGGCTGTCCAAAGGTGCCAGTTGTGCTCCTTCATCCAGAGTGGAGGCACTCTAAAACTGGAAGTGTGTTAGTGGTCAGTTAACCAGGTGAAAAAAGGGGAAAAAAAGCCTAAAAAACCCCGAATGCAGCCAAAAATTGCAATGTATTAAATGTGTGGTTTAATATCACATTTATTTTTCATATGCATGTTATAATCAGCATTTTTTTCTTTTACTAGAAACCCCAAACATGATGTATTGTCGGAAAGCAGAGGCCTTGGAGAATAAAATGGTGGCAATTTTTTAGGTCACAATATTTGCAGAGCCATTTAACAAGCATAAATTTTCAGGAAAACAAACTAAAATGAATTTTAGTGCTCAGAAACACAATATGATACCACATTTTTCATTGAATACAAAAGTTGAGTAGATAGATACCAAACATGTCAAGAGTCTAAATTGCTCCTCTGAAATGGCAACAAACTATGGTACCTAAAATATTTCAAGGGGGAGACTTTAAAAGGCCCTACAGGTTATTAGTGTGGAGTTAATCATGGGGGGGGGGGTGGCACAGTTTAACCTCTGGCCCATCCTGTCATTTAGGTAGGACACAGGGCAGAGGAAATTTGGACACAGCCTACAGAAATGGAGTGAAAAAGGACCACCTTTTTAAACTGAGCAGTGGTATGTAATGAACTGGGGATACTGGAATGTATTTAGTGGAGGTTTGCAAAAAATGCGTGCGCAAGGTGAACAAACCCTTTAGTCACCGGCAGGGGCGGACTGACAACTCATGGGGCCCCCCGGGCAATAGGGGATCATGGGGCCCCTGTGTCCTTGCCCAAACTCAAAAAAGCCTATGAAAAAGGTACCAGGGGAATCTCATGGGGCCCACTACTGACCTCGGGCAATGCCCAAGTTTCCAAATGGTCAGTCCGCCCCTGGTCACCGGTCACACCGCTGCGATTTAAAATCGCGCCATTTTGTGTGCAATTTCAGGTGCGAATTCTGAAGACTTTATTGCTTCTTGTGCAGATTTTCAACGATTTCTTGCAATTTGCAGTGTGATTTCCATTATATTCTACTGTATGTACAGTATGGAAATCTCAACAAAACTGCTGAAAAGGTTGATCCAGGGAATATCCGATAGCCACTTGGGGGATCAGGAAAGAATTTTTTCCCAGCAGGAGGAAATTGGATCATGCTTTGCTGGGATTTTTTTTTGCCTTCCTCTGGATCAACTGTGGGTATAGGATTATAACTTTTTTTTTTTATGGTTGAACTGGATGAACTTTTGTCTTTTTTCAGCCAGACTAACTATGTAACGATGTAACTATGTACCTATGTAATGCAGCAAATCGTAAATGTTAAGACACTGACATTCACATTCATTTCAATTCCCAAATTGCACCTGAAATCACACGGGTATGACCAGGCACTTAAAGAAAGTTGAAAATAACAGACTTACAGGCCAGATCACCAGGTGAAACTAAAATAAAAAAAGAAAACTAATGCAGCAACTACATTTAAGGATTGGTAAGCAACAATATAATATATTTATGCTTCTGGGCTTGGACGCACTTTAAGAAATTAGTGCATCATAGAAGTCAAACAGTAGCACCGATAGTTTAGTCATTATTCATTCTTGCGTGAAATGATTCTTACTTCTGGCCTGAATGTCTTACTGATATGTTTGATTTTTTGATTGTCATTAGAGTCAAATTGACATTCGTTCACCACAGTGAAAATTCGAAGAAGCAGGATAGAAAATTGTTCTTGAACAAACGAATTTCTAACAGTGTATGTAGTTTTCATTGTGTAAACTCTACATTTCATTTGCTATTAATCACAAAATCGAATGTTACACAAAAAAAAAAAAATTCAAATCTGGGCTACTTCTGACACTTCTCCCACACATGTAAAAATCTGCATTTTTATGCTAGAAAATTACTTAGAACCCCCAAACATATAGTTTTTTAAGTAACCCTGTAGAATAAAGTGGCTGTTGCAAATTTTTATGTTGAAAAATATTTGCATAGCAGTTCATCACACGCAAATGTTCAGTAAAAATACAATTTAATGAATTATCGTGCACAGAAAACACAATGCAGTACTGAGTTTTTTTGTAAGATATAAAATATAAAAGATGATGGTATGCAGAGTAAATAGATACCTAACATGTCATGCTTTAAAACTGTGTACAGAAGATGATGCCATCGGTGGATCAGTCCTGGGCTCCCTGGTGGGACTGGAGAGTCTGGGAGAGGTAGTAGCAGGGGGGTCCTTCCACCATATGTAAAAGTGATTGAGCAGCTGTGTAGCCACTTGAATCACTTCAATACGAGGTTGTATATATATATATATATATATACAGTGGGGATCGAAAGTTTGGGCACCCCAGCTAAAAATTTGTATTAATGTGCATAAAGAAGCCAAGGAAAGATGTAAAAATCTCCAAAAGGCATCAAATTACAGATTAGACATTCTTATAATATGTCAACAAAAGTTAGATTTTATTTTCATCATTTACACTTTCAAAATAACAGAAAACAAAAAAATGTCGTCTGCAAAAGTTTGGGCACCCTGCAGAATTTATAGCATGCACTGCCCCCTTTGCAAAGCTGAGACCTGCCAGTGTCATGGATTGTTCTCAATCATCGTCTGGGAAGACCAGGTGTTGTCAATCTCAAAGGTTTTAAATGCCCAGACTCATCTGACCTTGCCCCAACAATCAGCACCATGGGTTCGTCTAAGCAGTTGTCTAGAAAACTGAAACTGAAAATAGTTGACGCTCACAAAGCTGGAGAAGGCTATAAGAAGATAGCAAAGCGTTTTCAGATGTCAATATCCTCTGTTTGGAATGTTATTAAGAAATGGCAGTCATCAGGAACAGTGGAAGGTAAAGCAAGATCTGGAAGACCAAGAAAAATATCAGACAGAACAGCTCGCAGGATTGTGAGAAAAACAATTCAAAAACCCACGTTTGACTGCACGATCCCTCCAGAAAGATCTGGCAGACACTGGAGTTGTGGTACACTATTCCACTATAAAGAGATACTTGTACAAATATGGTCTTCATGGAAGAGTCATCAGAAGAAAACCTCTTCTACGTCCTCACCACAAAAATCATCGTTTGAACTTTTCAAATGAACATATAGACAAGCCTGATGCATTTTGGAAACAAGTTCTGTGGACCGATGAGGTTAAAATTGAACTTTTTGGCCGGAATGAGCAAAGGTACGTTTAGAGAAGAAGGGGCACAGAATTTAATGAAAAGAACCTCTGTCCAACTGTTAAGCATGGGGTTGGATCAATCATGCTTTGGGGTTGTGTTACAGCCAGTGGCACAGGGACATCTCACGAGTAGAAGGAAAAATGGATTCAATAAAATTTCAGCAAATTTTGGATGGTAACTTGATGCCATCTGTGAAAAAGCTGAAGTTAAAGAGAGGATGGCTTCTACAAATGGATAATGATCCTAAACACACCTCGAAATCCATGGGGGATTGCATCAAGAGGCGTAAACTGAAGGTTTTGCCATGGCCTTCACAATCTCCTCACCTCAACATAATTGAAAATCTATGGATAGACCTTAAAAGAGCAGTGCGTGACAGACAGCCCAGAGATCTCAAAGAACTGGAAGACTTTTGTAAGGAAGAATGGGCAAAGATACCTCAAACAAGAATTGAAAGACTCTTGGCTGGCTACAAAAAGCGTTTACAAGCTGTGATACTTGCCAAAGGGGGCAGTACAAGATATTAACTCTGCAGGGTGCCCAAACTTTTGCAGACGCCATTTTTTTGTTTTCTGTTATTTTAAAAGTGTAAATGATGAAAATAAAATCTAACTTTTGTTGACATATTATAAGAATGTCTAATCTGTAATTTGATGAATTTTGGAGATTTTTCCATCTTTCCTTGGCTTCTTTATGCACATTAATACAAATTTTTAGCTGGGGTGCCCAAACTTTTGATCCCCACTGTATATATATGCTTTCTCAACCATTTTCCCAACATGTTTGGGATTTTAGAGCGCTTGCAGTGACTGTTGTTGTATTTATTATATATATATATATATATGTACTACAATATTGAGGTGCTTGAAGGCATACAAAATTTTTAATTATCTTTGAATGACATTTATGAAGCCATTGAATGTACTGAGAATTTTTATACGATTGTTTATATGAATGTTCACTTGAACTAAAGCGTGGTTAGCTTTAGCTATGATCTCAATGGGTCACCAAAAGAAACAGTCATTCCCTTTAAATCTTGCGTGATCCGATGGCCCTTACAGCCAGTAAACACAAGCCATAAACTACTTATGTATTACTCAATCCTCCACTAACTCTGACACTGAAAAAAACCTTCTTTTAAATCTCAATTTCTCATGCCTCCCCTTGTACATGGCCTAGGGGAACATTTCTTTGCCAGCTCATCTCCATATACATTTTTTCTTTACGATAGATGTGTTGATGACAGTTACTGAGATACTGACTGGTGCTCCCTGTCTCTAGAAATAAGAACAAAAAAAGACTGGGAACACGTAATTATGGTACACCGTGGTGAGTAATAGAAACCCACAAATCACATCATTACAGCTGTTTGGCACATCGTCCTGAGCACATTTTATCTGGTGCAGGTACCTGCAGACAGATGTGTGTTTAGGGCTCCTTCTGATAACAGCTATATGGATGACAAAATAACTTTGCCACCCTGAAAGATATACTTTTCAACATTCAGTTTTAATCAGCATGAAGTCATAAAACATGGACTGAATCCCATTGAAAGTATTCAAGATGTGTCTTGCCTCTCAGTAAGTAATGTTATCCAAAGAGTTAAACCAATCCACTAGTGTGCTTTCTCAACCATTTTCCCAACATGTTTGGGATTTTAGAGCACTTGCAGTGACTGTGTCAGGAATGGACTCAGCACTGGTGGTGGGACCCACCTGCCGTGTGGGCTGCAGTACCAGAGCTGACCAGCGGGTGCTCTCAGCAGCCAGAAGCTCACACGTGCAATCAGCCAAACCTGGGGCTGATTGCAGAAAGGTGTATTTAAGGCATGACCAGGCCTGTGATCTGGGCCTTGGTGTATGTTTTCCCATGAGCCTCTGTACCTGGTATCTTGTGTTCCTGCTTCGTTGCTGACCCGGCTTGATCCTGACCTCTGCTGACCGTCTCCTGTTGAACCCCTGGCTTGCCTGACCATCCTTCTGCCTGATCCCCTGTACCGCGCTGCCCGTGAGTTACTGAACCCGGCTTGTGACCTTGACCATTCTCTGCCTGCTCCTTTGGTACCTTGCTGCCCGCACGTTGCTGACTTGGCCCGTCTGACCACGCTAACTACTCTGCCATCCATCCATCCTGCACGGATCCAGCCGTACCTGCACATACCTCTGGCGGATCCCTCTACCACTAGCAGGTGTACTCAGGGGCCGCGACCTGGTTCCTGTCTGCTCCAAGTCCATCCCCACCATCAGGGGCCCTGGTGAATAAGCAGACTGGGACTTAGACTCCGCGCCCTGGGGAATCCTGTCCTGAGGACCGCTAGAGGTACTACCAAACGGTCATTACAGAACCCTACGGCCGGCCTGACCGTTCCACCTCTCCAGCCCTGACTACGCCTGTGTTCCTGCACCTACTAAGATTAGTGGAAGGTTGGTTTGTTCACTGTGCGTTTATATATATATCTGGGTGGCTAATAATAAACGGTATTATTATACTATACCTGAAACCTGCATTTCCCTGTGTCAGTCCACACCTTTCTGGTCACTCCTAGATTCCTGACAGACTGTTATTGTATTTATTATATATATACAGTTGCAAGAAAAAGTATGTGAACCCCTTGGGATTACGTGGAGTTTTGCATGAATTGGGCATAAAATGTGCTCTGAACATCGTCTAAGTCAAAACAATAGAAGAACACAGTCTGCTGAACATAATACTACACAAACATTAGATGTTGCCATGGTTTAATTGCACATAACATGTAAA